CAGTAAAAGGGGTGTATGCGTGTGTGTGTGTGTGTTTTGTATGTTTTTTTTTCTAATCTGTAGTTGAAAACGTGAGGGACAAACGAGGGGCTAGCATTTTAGGATACCGACGTATTATATATACAAAACCAGAGAGTCAGTAACCAGATCGTCACAAGCAAACGGCTGCAGTTTATACCAAAATACGCTTGACAGACGAGAAAAATAAGGAAAACACAAAGAGGGACGGGGATGACCTACCTCAGCTGTTTTTCGGGGCCATAAACCTCCCACTTTATGTATATACACTGACAGGTAAAAAAATCCACCCAATTGATTTTTTTCATTTTCTCAGTAAAAGAAAATTCTGACCTCAATTTGTCTTATTGTTTTTTACCAATAAATATTTATTTGTTATATGTTTTAAATTGGGAATATCAATTAGAGGTAAACACATTTAATCATTAATCCAAAACAAGGATAAAGGTTTTTTTTCAATGTTTACTTTTTGCGGAATTTAACATGTTTATTCAGTCTAATTTGAAATCTGAATGAATAAACTGTTTAGTTTTCATCTTTTATTTCTTAATTTCAATTCAAGGCAATCTTAAAAATGCCACTTAGTGCTGAGGATGTTGCGCGTGGTGTGGCACTTATTGGTGATGGACGTTACATCACGTATGCAGCTATTGCCATCGGAGTACCCTACAAAAAACTGCGAGACGCCATTAGTCATTTTCCAGAAACTGGGTCCTACCATAGAAAGCACGGTTCTGGACGCCGTCGAGTAACAGAACCACAAGATGAACTTTTTTTTTTAGTTTGAGAATTTTCAGAAACCGGCACTTTACTGTTGTTCAAGCGATTCATCAGTTCCAGGAAGTCCGAGGCGTCCAAATTTTTGAACGTACTGCTCGAGGAATATTAAAGCGGGGAACACACTTACCCGATGCAACGCAATGCGACGCTACCTGATGCTACCCGATGCGATCTCTCGTTTTGGTAGGTTGTGCACATCTATGAGATGTCATGCGCACGCCATGTACAGTCACACAACGTGTATCACAAATCGGTGTCACAATCGCAACGCCTCTTTTGTTCTTAATGCATTATTTTGAGCAAAACCATGTAATACATTGTTAGTTAAATTTAATAGCACAACCATGTAATAAATTGTTAGTTAAATTTAATTGTTTTTAATAAAGTTATTCCGTTGTTTTGATAAATTTTCTTCCTAACCATCATAATTAAATAATTTTGATAAAAGCTCATGAATTTTTGAACTCGTTTAATTTGGTTTATATTAAAATAAGAATGTTGTAATAAACATAACGACAAAATTACATATACATAATACTACAAAAAATATTACTGACCGGTTCTGACCTACTCCAGGAAAATGGTGTAATTCATGAACAAAACAATGTAATAAATTGTGAGTTAAATTTTATGAGCAAAACCGTGTAGTAAATTGTTAGTTAAATTCATTATATCAAAAAAATAGGTATTCCGATGTTTTGATCAATTTTCTACCAAACCATTAAAATTAATTTTTTAAAAAATAACAACTACTGAATTTTTGATCTTGCTTAATTTGGTTTATATTAAAATAAGTACGTTGTAATTAATAATACGATAATAATACATAAAGTTTGAATAAAAGTATGAGTGTCCAGTTCTTTTGTTTTCGACTGTACTCGATTTATTTGGAATTAAAACAGGTTCGAAGTTAAAAAGAGTTAATTTGAAACCAAAAAGTGTAATTTGAAATTACATAGGTTTAATATGAAATAAGAAAGGTACGTTTGAAGTCAAAAGGGGTTATTTTGAAATAAAAATGATTAATTTGATGTTAAAAAGGGCATATTAAAAACGATTTATTTGAAGTTAAAAAGGGGTTATTCTGAAATTAAACAAGAGTTAAGTTATAAAAAGCTAATTTGATATGAAAAAACGTTGATTCGAAGTTAAAAAGGTTTATTTTGAAATTTAAAACAGTTAATTTGAAGTTAAGGGTTAATTTAAAATTGTAAAAAGGTTGATTTGAAATTCAAAAGGTTAATTTCAAATTCCAAAAATGATTTTAAGTTTAATAGCGTTAATATAATATTAAATTTTTTTATTGTAGTTAGGAAAAACATGAAAATAATGCATTTGTGAGTGAGCAAATTCCAACAATCTATTGAAATACAATACATAATTATTTTGTGACCAAAGAAGGTAGTAAAGTAACAAACAATAATAATTTATGACAAACTAAATTTTTAGTTGTTTTTCGCACTCCAGAAAAACCCTGAATACCATCGTTTTCTGTAAATGGACTCTACATAGTTCAAGTCATATCAACTGCTCAATTTTGTTGTATTTTGTCTGATTCTACTAAATTGTAATTTATACAAACGAGTGCTTTGTAAATATAACATTGTTTTTAATAAAGCTTCCTTTTTTCACAGTGTCAATATTGATACCTACCGTGAGACACTAATGCATCCGGGAAATGGGGAAAAACCATGCCTGCATAGGACTAGCATACATTTGAAATTTCGGCTTAGAACGGGTGATAACATTTAGTTTTAACTATAACAACAAACAAACCAGGATAGAATTAGACGAAGAAAAATTTTGCGAAAAAACCATACTAGGATTAGGTCAGTACCGACATTGGATTTTTGTAATGGTTCCTGTCGGAGTTTCAGGGACTGGAATAGCCGCTGTTATTTTCATAACGATGTTCCATAATATGGCCCCCAGGGCTGTGAGGGAGCTTTGTGAATCCGGTAATAAACGGGTAGAAATTGAAGGTTTCAGGCGTGCCATTTGTTTCAATTTTTCACGCTTGTTAATCACGGAGGGGGATGGGAAGAATCAATCACCGGGCCCAGTATCCTTGTTAGCTCCCCCTCTTTTTGATTCTGTCACTGATATTGGCGTTTAATTAAATTATTTAGACGTCTTTCACGCCCTCATATTCGGGGCGATTAATGTTTTAATTGTTTTTGACTCATTTTTGACTGGAAGTAAGGTATATAATTTATACAGGGCAATCTGTCTTGTGTGGTAAAACGACGTATCCAGAGCAGTGCATTTTTCGATGCAGGGAAAACAATGCATCACCAGCTGGTTTGGTACAATTTTGAAAGAAAAGAAAGAATACCATTATCCTTTGAGAGAAATGCTCCTTTAAGAGCAAAGACATAATTTAAATAACACTTTTTACAGTACGTTTTTCATGTAAAACTTTCCATGAAATTTTCAAGAAAACATGATTTATGTACTAAGAATAAATAAAAAAATAAAAAAGTAAAGTATGAGAAAAGGAATTTCTAAGTAATGTGCCATTTCAATTTACTACAAATAAAAAATATTACACCGTGAGAGTTGTTATAAAAGACACGTTAAAAGGGTTGGATGTAGCGACCACTTTTTTACTCAGGAATAATCTGGATACTGTAGAAGCTGGACGCTCGATTTGAGTATCGAGAAGAAGCTCGAGTCCTTTGAGATGAATTTATACCCGTTTACAGTCCACATATCGTGGATACAGAGAGTTACAAATGATCGCAAAATTGCCTCGCAGCATGGGCAAGCCCTGAGAACTTCTGCTCATGATCAACAAAAGAAAAACACGGTATATGCGATATAGCCGAAAGCATGGCAGATAACAATTCAATTTTTTTATCCACGGGCACACCGAGATGAAAGACATGACCTTTTATTTTTATTTTGGTTTTAAAGGTAATGTTTCAAGAAAAATTTATTATTGATATTTGACATTCATTAAGAATGCGCGTTAAGTCAACTTGGAGATAAACACAATGCCCTTTTTTACAAGTTTCCCGTCCTTTACGTTCCAAAATAATCATACCAAAAACTCACCAATCCATTCATTTTTCCTTGAGAATTCGACGATACAATTTATTTTTTAACTGATTAAAAAAGTATAAAATTAAGATTTAATTGAATAAAGAATGAAAATGTAATCTGTGTTTATTTTTTTAAACCTAACTTTAAACAACAACAATCAGTTACATAAATAGAACTTACCGAGTTCTGAAAGAAAACTTCAATATTCCAAGATCAAATCGACGAGGATAAATTCCCCCCCCACATTTTGGAAGTGTTTTCCATTAAAAAAATATGATACCAAAAAACTCAAAAAAATTCGTATCTGTTCTTGCCATCTTCATTGGTTGGTTTGTCGGTTATGTCCAAGTCTTCTGTTAAATTGTTATCTCTTAAAACTTGTGTAGGGATTCGACAGTATATCTTTGTTGTTGATGCACAGAGGACAAGACTCTTTTTTCAATGTAAACGTACATTGAGTACATTTTTCTTCATTTATTCTTGTCCGGCACTTTTTGAACCAGTCTTCGATAAACTCAAGGTGTTTTTGGATGTTGGAGATAGCTTGAATAGGATTCGAGGTAGAGGACAAAATTGCGGTACCGTCCGCCTAGGTGATGATGACCGGTCATCGGTATAAATGATATAAAACATGGGAACAAGGAACCTCCCTTGTGGAACGCTGGCTTGTATTTGCCTGACTTCAAACAACTCGTTGCCGCACTTCACTCTGACCAGCGGTCGGTTAGATAAGATTGCAAGATAAGGTAATAAGGAGTGAGTAGGAAGCGTTTAAGTTTATAAAGCATGCCCGGGTGCCAGACCCTATCAGATGCCTGTGCTACATTTAGGAACACATTCAAGAAATACTCTTTATTCTCTAGTGCAGGGGAGTCGACAACTCTGAACTCTTTTGGATCGTGGAGTGATGAGGACGGAATGGGTGAGAGGGAATTATTTTATGAGTATCTAGGATGGGGATTAATCGTTTTAAAGGGAGTCTTTCAAGGATTTCGAATATTTTTGATGTGCTAATGCTTTTAATTAAATTCTGATTCGACTTCGTTTTACACGATGTTTTTGAATTTTTTTACGTTTGCAATTTTGTGTATTTTAGTTCATTTCAGATGCAATTTATCACTATGTACTAGATCAAAAAATAAATGATTGACTCTTACCTGCAGGAACAACTTGATAAACGCACGGTGTTTTCTGAACACCTACGGCGTTGGAACCCCAGCATGAAAGAGTTCCGTAATCCATTTCTGAGACGGGCGTGTAGTTAAGGGTTGAAACCGTTCCTGATGCCGTGTATCTGGAGGGAGGTACTTCGGTCTGTTCGCCGGAATTGTTGAAAGTCCATTTGAATGTCACGAGAGGTGGGTTAGCGTCTACTTGACACTTCAGAGCAACTGTTTCCTGCTTCAAAGCCCCGTACAGTTCGTCTTTCTCATCTTTACAAGTGGGGACATCTGTGAACAATAGGTGTTTACACAAACTGGTATTTACGTAGAACAGAAAATACACACACACACACACACACACACACACACACACATATATATATATTGGGTTGTCCGGAAAATAATGCAGGATTTTGGTATTAAACAAAAAAAAAGAAACTAGTTACTTTAAAGCAATGTTCTTTAATCAAAATAATTTCCCATACTCTCAATACATTTCTCCCAACGTGTTGGTAACTTATTAATTCCGTCTGAGTAGAATTCAGAATTTTTAGAATTGATAAAGTCAATAAATGCATTTTCCAGTTCCGTTTGATTTTTGAATATTATGTGTTGTAAGTAGTGGTCCAGGTGTGTAAAAAAATGGTAGTCAGTAGGCGAGAGGTCCGGAGAGTAGGGTGGGTGAGGCAAAGTTTCATAGCCAAGCTCCAATAATTTTTGTGACGTTACACGTGACACATGTGGTCGAGCGTTGTCATGCAACAAAATGGGCCCTTTCCGATTGACCAAAGAGGGCTTCATTACTGCCAATTTCTGATGCATGGTATTAATTTGGTTACAGTATGATTCAGCATTGATGGTTTCGCCAGGATTTAAGAAGCTGTAGTGTATTAAACCAAATGAAGCCCACCATACCGTAACCATTACCTTTTTTTGATGAGTTGGGGGCTTTGGAAAATGTATTGGAGCTTCTCCTTTGTCGAGCCACTGTCCAGAACGTCTAGTGTTATCGTAGAGAATCCACTTTTCGTCACATGTAACAATTCTGGCCAGAAATGGGTCATTTTTGTTTCGACAAAGAAGTGATGCACAAACATCAAAGCGCTGATTTTTTTGGCGATCGTTTAATGAGTGTGGAACCCAATTTTCGAGTTTTTTCACTTTTCCAATCGCCTTGAGGTGGTCAGCGACGGTCGTTTTACTGACTTTGAGTTGCTCTGCAAGTTCTCGAACAGTTGTTTTGGGGTTTTCTTCCACCACTGATCGCAGAACATCATCATTAAGAGAGGAAGGCCTTCCACGACCTTCTTCATCTTCAAGGCTGAAATCTCCCTCCCGAAATTTTTTAAACCACCTTTGCACAGTGCACTCATTAACACAACCCTCGCCCCAGACTTGGTTAATGTTTCTAGCCGTTTGGGCTCCGCTTCGGCCGAGTTTAAACTCGTAAAAGAAAATCGTACGAAATTCTCGCTTTGACATTATAAGGATGACTGAATTATTTCCAAGTAGCGGAATGCTACAGAGGTAAACAAACAATATCATTTGGAAGAGGATTAATAAGTGTTGACATTCATACAAATGAGTAATCCTGTAAACGTAAACAGAATATTTTATATAGATTTTTTTTAATGAAAACTTAAAATCCTGCATTATTTTCCGGACAACCCGATATATATATATATATATATCTTGTTACGGATACTTCGAAATGCAACAGTAGTTTCACATTTTGTCATAAACTGCGAAGGCTTAAACATTATTTGAGCTCCAATGGGCCATGTACTCCCACCAGAATATTTCGAATAACACACCATAGGGAGAGAAAAAACCAGTATTCACGTCTCTAAAACTGTGGACACGATCCAATCATGCCTTTAAATGTAAAAGGTTCGGGTATTACAAACTCCAGTGTTACTGTTTTGTAAAGCCTTAATTGTCCTAAAAAATGAAAAACCACTGCAGCTCGAATTCTTTTACCGCAGCCTGGGTTGTAAAATATTTGTTGTATTATTTATTCGATACAAGAAAGAAAAAACGTACATTGAGCAGAATCCGTTATTGTTATTTTATAAGTATTCAACATAGATTCCGTTTTAATCCGGCAATATTGAAAAAAATCTATAGCCATGCTCTTGTGTACTAATAAATTTAAACAAAAGTACTTAATGAAATTAAGTATTAATTAATTACTTAAATTTTAATAAAAAAGTAGTACGAGTATATAGTAAATTTTTAACTAAAACAAATTGGTATACAAAATGAAAATTTCATTGTCTATTGATGATTGTACCACTGAAGAGAACATTGTGGGATCTACACCCCATCAAATTCCACTTAATATAATTAATCAATCAATGTTTGATTAATTCCGTTCCAAAGCATAAGTTGATTATTTGTAACTTAATGAAGATTCATATTAACTTATGTTATTAACTTGTTCGTAACACGACGACGATTTTCAATTACCAGAATAAGGATAAGTAACGTATTTGAGTTTTTCTACGTTATTAAATTGTAAACTGTACAATATTTATTCTAAAGTTGCTAAAAATCCTGATATACTGGACAATTTTATTTGCTTGAATCATTACACATAATTTCAAACGTGAGGAAAATTGTTTGGACTACTTCAGTTATTTCGCATTTTCAAAGGTAATCTGGATGGCAGATTTTCCCTCCTCATTGCTTAATATACAAAAGGGGGCGTCAATAAATGACCATTTTTGTATAGGTGTTCTCTCAGATACTAGTGGCTAGTATAGAGACTTATCTCCCTTCTGAGCTTTACCCTATCTAGCCGTATAAATATGTTTGCTAGTTTTGAGTTTCTTAACCATGTGTTTATTAAGCCTGTGCAAAGACGGTAAAGAAAAAAAAATTGGAAATCATTGACAGATAATTAATTAAATAATTTAATATGCCTGGCATCCCTTCAGTTCGTCCGTTTATCCTTTTGGTATGAGTGGATCAATGCTGAGATTGAAGAGCCTATGTTTGTTCATATCATCACAATTATACACGTTCTGAACCTATAGTGTGCGTTCCAGAGATGGTCTGCTTGTATATTTCTAAGAATTTCTATGTGCCCTGGCACCTGTCATATTGCTAGGCTGTTTTCTCAGCTTTTGGAGACTTACGATGCTTCCACCTGTGAACTATATCGTCTTTGATAATTAGAAGATATTCTAAGTTCGCATAATTAGAGGTAGATTTAAACCCTAAAGGGTTAAGGCACTAAACAAGCTAGACACATTAGTACTCGATATTCCATCACAAGCACACCCAAACCTTCACGCTAATAAATAAATTCGCTCAAAGTAGGAAATTAATTCAACCAACATACGATAGGGCTCCTTATATCCGGTCAAATATAATTAGTTTTTTGTTCTATACACAGATGAACAAATTTAAAGCACCATTCAATTATTTAGTTTAACATTACATCCATTATATTTCCACCTTAGTTACAGGTAATTAGGAGCTATCGTAGGTAAAATAGACAGTAAATAATGCTTCATTTACTTTACATGTTTTCTTTTGTACTGATTAATCCCATTTGCACAATTAGTTCAGATAAATCATTAGATATTGGAAAAATGCCTAATGGAACACTTTCAATGTTTAGTTCAGTTTTAAGTTTAATCAAGTGATAACAAAACTAAGCCAAGTCTAACCTTTTTCGGTGTAGCGATCCATACTATAAGATATCTGAGAAGAGCAGGGTGAAACAATGGAAATCATTCGCTAGACACAGACTTTCCGACAATCTCTTTGGGAGGTTTAAAAGGAAAATGAAACTACGGAAAATATCGAAGGAAGAAATAAGAAACTCCACATCTGAACAAGTTCCCTGATCAAGCACTGCAGATTCATAGGGACCTCTCAGAAAGATTATCATCAGCCAATACCGTAGATCCAGGTTCTACACAATGCAAAAGTGTCTTATAAGAAAATAGGTTTTACCAAAAACATAATTTAAATCTTTCAGTTTAAAAAAAGAAAGATAGTTTGAAACAACTCTTTTGTAGCTTGGTCCTTATCGATCATTTTAGTGTGCCTATCTTCACGGTTTTGGTATGTCCCACACGGTACGGCATCTTCGCTGTGTCTGTTAGGTTCCTGTATTTATTTATGAACGTCCTGAAAAGTAGAAAATGTGCATCCGTGTAAGATGATGGAAAGATTAAAAATTATTTTTAAAAAATCACGAAAGAAACGCAATAAACAAAAGCCATATATAGCAAAATAAAACCACAAAGACAGATATTACGTGAACCACGTTCACATACGACCTCACAACTTATCAAAAGAACATGACTTGACATGATTCGCAGAGGCCAACTATAGATGGAGGGAAGCCGCGTATGACAGACAAAAACATCTAGGATAGGCCGACATAAATCTTGGAAAACGCCTGAGCAACTAAGCTTTATGCTTTTTTACAGTTGTTTTTCGTACAATTAATACGACTTAATCCTCGATGAGAGTTTTAAGAAATCAAATTATTACAATGCACCACCGTTCAAAATATGCAGGTTATCCCGTGAACAGGCTTCAATACTTCAGGAAGTTACCCGACCAATGTCAAATTGTCTCCATTGTCTTGAGGCTTTTTCTCAATTGCATTCGAGATATTTCATTTTAGAGGTTACTTCAACCTTTCACAACTTTATTCCATGAAGTCCGCCATGTACATAAAATATTAAATCTACTGTAAATTGGATTACACCAATGGAAAGAGCATTCAAGACGCTATGAGATTCATTTTTTTTATTGCAACCATGAGCTTTCAAACAAACAAAATCGTTTAGAAAGTAATCTTTTACAAGCTTTCAAAGTTCTTGTTTAAAATTTAAGAAAGAATTCTTCACGATTCTTCGTTTTGTAAATACTGAGAGATATGGCCCTCACGGGACAGTTAGTTTAGTAATAATTACATCTATTGCAATTAATTTCTCGAAGGTCAGTTATCTCCATTGTAAAGCAAATGTTTAATTGGAAAAAAATTATTTTCCGGTTACCAACGGTAAACTTGTTAATGCTTCCTCTATTTCATTTCTAAACTTCAAAATTTCTATTAAAAATAATGAAAATAATATAAAGTAAAAAATATCACTCTCTTGTACAAAATGGAGCATAAGAAAAAAGATGAAGAAAAGAAAGTGAAAAAAAAGTTTAACAGTCAAAATGTCAAGCTTCTTGGCTTCCATTCTCAAAGACATTTTGACCATTTAATTGATATTTTAGAAGTATTTGTATTTTCTTAAATTCAATTGTGTACCAAC